AATCATGTCTGATTTCCTGCCAGGCTCCTCTGTACATGGGATTCTCCAGGCAAGAATAGTGGATTGGGTTGCCAGGCCTTCCTCCATGGGGTTTTCCCAACTCAGGGATCAAACCATGTCTCCTATGTCTCAGGCAGATTCTTTACCTGCTGATATTCCATATATATATTTATATACACACACATATATATAAATATGGTTGGTCAAATATGTTATGAAAAAACATGAACGAATTTTTTTGCCAACCCAATATATATATAATAGAATCATTTTGCTGTACACAAAACACAAAACTGTAAATCAACTATGCTCCAATATAAAATAAAAATTAAAAAAAAAAAGAAACGAGGTTAGGTGTTCCAGGCAGAAGGCACAGAAAGTGCAAAGGCCCAGAGGCAGTTAGATGCAAGGCCTTTGGAAGCATGACCAAGAGTCCAGTTTGGCTGAGCTTTAGAACATGGCGGGGATGGATTAATAACAGGATAAATCAGAGTAGGGGCTTCCTTCTCTGGGTTCAGTGTAACTTTCTGACTCTCTAGAACCCAGCAGTCATGTATGGATGTGAGAGGTGGACCATATACAAGGCTGAGTGCCAAAGAATGGATACTTTCGAACTGTGGTGCTGGAGAAGACTCTTGAGAGTCCTGTGGGCTGCAAGGAGACCCACCCAGTCTATCCTAAAGGAGATCGACCCTGAATATTCCCTGGAAGGACAGATGCCGAAGCTGAAGCTCCAACACTTGGGCCATCTGATGTGACAAGCCGACTCATCGGAAAAGACACTGAAGCTGGGAAAGACTGAGGGCAGGAGAAGGGGGTGACAGAGTATAACATGGTTGGACGTTATCACGGACTCAGTGGACGTGAGTCTGAGCAAATTTCAGGAGATGGTGAAGGACAGGGAAGCCTGGTGTGCTGCAGTCCATGGGGTCACAGAGTCGGACACGACCGAGCAAGTGAACAACCACAGCAAGAACCAAGCATGGATGGACCTTCTCTCTCCCCGAAACACAAAGCCTGGGGGGCACACGCTCACCACCCTGAGGTACCAACGCCCAAGACCTCCTGGCAACGCGCTACCCATGAGGATGACCTGAATGCAGAATACCCTGTGAGTCGAGATGCCAAGAGTTAACTGAGGGCGGGGGTGGGGAGCCACAGTGACAGGAGGAAGAGATTTTTCACAGCCTCTGGAGATAGAAATCATCCGCAGCCAGCCAGTCCCCTGGTACCAGTTTATATTTTCTCTCTCTATTTTAATTAAATATCTGCCACTCACACATTCATGCTGCTGGTAGCCATTCCCTTCTCCAGGGGATCTTCCCAACCCAGGGATTGAACCCAGATCTCGCACATGGCCGGCAGATTCTTTACCAGCTGAGCCACAAGGGAAGCCCAAGAATACTAGAGAGGGTAGCCTATCCCTTCTCCAGGGGATCTTTCTGACCCAGGAATCAAGCCGGGGTCTCCTGCATTGCAGGCGGATTCTTTACCAGCTGAGCTATCAGGGAAGCCTCCCTTGTCAGCTATGCAGAGGCTAAATGAGAAGAGGTACTTGGAGGAGCACTGGACTGGGAGTCGGAGCTCTGATCTCCATGGCTGCCTCTGCCGTGAGTTGAAGGGACACCTTGGGCAAGACCCCTCCTTTCCCTGAGCCTCAGTTTCCACATCTGCAGGGTGAGGGGACTGCACCGAACAGTCAGTAAGTGCCTTCTCCTCTGGCTGGCGACAGTCTTTTAAACTTGTGGCTTTTCTGATGACGTTTCCTGACATCCCCAACTTGGGCCCCTGCATCTGTTGCAACTGCAGTTCACTGTTCTCCCCTGGAACTCTCATAACCATATGTTCCAAGGGTAATTATCTTCCAATTTCACCTTCCAATTGCATCTTAATTTACATTTCATTCCTGGATGCCTGCTGGAATGTCCAAGTCAAGCCTGATGATTTCTAATGAGGCTGTGGTTAGATGAGTCCAGCGACCCATGGCGGGTGTGGGACCCACGACCCACATGGGAAAGGCATGGCTGGGACAGACCTGACTCCAACCTCAGCTCCGCACACGTCAGCTGTGTGATCTCAGGCACGTCACTGTGCCTCTCTGAGCCTCAGTTTCTTTCTAGATAAAATGGAAGAAATACCCTGCTTTTTTCATAATGCTGTTGTTCAAGGCAACGATGTTTGTTCAAGGCAAAAAACCCACATAGGGTACCTAACAAAGTCAACTGGCAGACATTTCCTGACCACCTACTATGTGTTATGCACCGGATAAATAAAGCAGGCTCTCAAGCTGGACAGTCTGTTTCACCCCTGTCTCAGCTCCTTATTAGGTCAGTAACCACAAAATCTCTGCAGCTCAATTTTCCCATCGATAAAAGGAGGACGGCAACAGTACTCAGGATGAGGTTACTGTGAAAACCGAACTGATACAAGTATAAAAGACTAAAGAGCAGCATCTGGTTCAATATTAACTAGTAATCTGTTGGTTATGTATAATATGATGGGGGCTTCCCAGGTAGCCCCGTGGTAAAGAATTCGTTTGCAGTGCAGGACAGTTGGGTTCGATCTCTGGGTCAGGAAGATCCCTGGAGGAGGAAATGGCAACCCACCTGGGTATTCTTGCCTGGGAAATCCCACGGACAGAGGAACCTGGCGGGCTACAGTCCATGGGGTCACAAAGAGTCGGTCGGATACGACCTGGGAACTAAATAACAGCAACGTAAGGTGACAGACACCGTGCTAGGCCGCTGACAAGCTCTGTTTAATTATGAGACCTTAACAACAAAGATCTTATTATCCCCATTTTCAAGATGAAGAAATAGACATTGAGAAGTTAACCAACCTGCTCAAGGTCAAATAACTAGGCATACGGTGGTTATGGGGTTCAGTCCCACGAGTATGAACCACTCGGCTGCATAATCAAGACATTCAGAGCCAAGCACATACATATCATTATGTGAGGTCTATGACTGCCATCACACAGAAGAAGTAACCAGATTTACGCTAGACGCAAATTACAGGATGCTGGAACCCAAGAGCAGTAAGTGCTGAGATTTTATGGGACCAAATCTGCCGCTCGCTAAGCGTTTTCTGGCTCACTCCAAACCCTGGAGTCTCCGAGAATAGAGGGCTCTCCCGAGTCTCGTGCAGGGAAACGTGGGAAAACCGCACGGGGCTCTCACCATTGTTTTCCAGCGAGTTTTATTAGGCGTGTAGGCAAGACTTAGCCTGGCTCTGTCCGCGCTAGATCTAGCAGCAGGCCACCTCCTTCCTAGAAGGAGGGGGCTGGCTGGGCACTGGGACCCTGCCCCGGTCTTCTCTCCACTCCTGCAAAGCGGCACCCCGCCCCCACCCCAGCGCCTACCCCGCGACCAACACTCACGCAGGGTCCAGGTGTGTCCACGCCCGGCTGTGCGGACACAGGGAGGCGGCCGCCGCGTTCCTGAGCCCCCAAGTGTCTCCTTTGTCAGATCAATGAGCCAACGTCTCCCACCCGCACCTCACTCCTCAGACAAAGATTTTATTCATTAAAAACACTTGAGAAAGGAAAAGCCCACAACGCACAGACGCGCGCGCACACACGCACACACACACACACACTTTTTTACACCCACCCAGGGCAGCAGGATATGGTTCTAAGACAGCCAAAATGGTGGCTTCCTGTTTCTTTAGGGATGTGTGTTTTGGAGTTCGGATTCGGACAAGGGTGTTGGTCGGGGAGGGAGCTGCCTTCTGCTAAATTCTATGAGAAAAAAAAAAATATGAAAAGAGCGATAATCGCTCCTTGGCAGGCAAGTGAAGTTAGCTGGGACGGCTGCCTCCTCGTCAACTCGCCTCTCGGAGGCAACTTTCTGCCCTCCCCGCGGAGCAGTCAGGACTCCGGGGAACTGGGGTCCAGGCACCGCCCATCTCTGGGTCTCAGTCAGCAAGTCTGTTAAATGGCAGACCTCGGAGGGGATCGCTCTGTACCGTCGAACGCATTCGGGATTCCACGGACGCCCCGGGCGGGCAGAGGCAGATTCTCAGGGCAGAGACGCGAGGGCTGGGAGGGAACGCCGTCCCCCGGGCGTTCGGTCCCGCCCGCGAGGCACAAAGCGGGGCCCCCGGCCAGGGCCCCGCAGGCGACGGGGGCGCGCCGCTGCGGGGGACGGGGCGGGGTGTGATCATTTAGGACTTTTTAATTCCAAAGGAGCGCGAGCTCCAAGTCTGGGCGGGCGGGGGGGGGGGGGGGGCGTCCAGGAGAGGGAGAGGCGCGAGGGGCCGCCAAGGGCGCGCCGCGCACGAGCGAGGGACCAGGCGTACACAGACCCTGGCGTGGGGGAAACGCAGACGGATCCGGGGGCCGAGAGGGCCTCGGGGGCCAGCGAGAGCCTGAAGGGGACGCCAAGGAGCAGGAGGGGGGACTCAGGGGCGCTACCGAGTCGCTTTTACGAAGGGAGCGGCTTTCCCCGTCGCGAGGGGACCTCCAAGCCGCGGGCCGCGGTGGGAGCCGGAGGCGGCCTATCGGGGGTCGGGGTGCGGCCTCGCCGACACCGAGGGGGCGTCCCCGAGGTGGGGCGTCCCAGACGGGACTGAGAGCCCCCCGACGCTCTCAGCCTCCTCAGGACCCGCCCGTCCCTCAGCCCGGGCGGAAGGTCGGGGGGTTTCTGGGCAGCTCGCTCCGGAGAGCCTCGCGGGCTCCAACTTGGAGCGCCGGACGGGGCCCCTTGGCGCGCGTGCCCCGCGGAGCCTCCTACCTGCTCTGTTCATCTTCCAGCGCGCGGAGCCCGGGGCCGCCCGTCGGTGCCTCGGTCCGTCCGAGCGCGAGTCCGCGCGCCGCCTCACTCCATGGCCGCCCCGCGGGGCCCGCACCCCCCCGGCGCCTGCCCCGCCCCCGGCGCGCGCCGGACTCCGCGCGGCGCGCAGGGCCAGTGGGGGCGCGGGGCGCGGGCCTCCGGGGCTGGGCGGGGCCGGGGAGCGGGGCGGGGGCGCGGTCGGGGCGCGGGGGGCGGCGGCGCGCTCACTCAGGCCGCGGCGCGGCGCGCGGGGCCGGGGGGGCGCGAGCCTGGGGTGGGGGGGCGGGGCCGGGGGCGCGGGCGCGCGGGCGGGGGGCGGGGGCCGGGCCGGCGCGCGGCGTCGTGTCCGCTCCGGGCGCCCGGCTCCGCGCGCGCTGCGCTCTGGCCGCCGGGCCTCTGCCGGTGCCGCTTCTGCGGCCGCTGCGCCTCCGCCCACTCCGAGACGTTTCCTCCCGCTCGCCGGGAGGAAGGCTTTTTAAATTTCTCCTTTCTGCTCCGTCAGGGATCCAGGGAGCCGAGGGGCGAGGCGTCCCCGCATTTAAAGGGGCCGTGGCGTGGGGCCTCGGGGAGCTGCGCGAGGTTCCAGGGAGTAGGACCGGGGGCGTGGTGAAGCGGCGAGTTGGGCTTCTAGGGGGGTCCCTTCGCCCAGCGGACCATCTGTCACTTGATTTTCAACCTCAGGCATTCATTCATTCAGTCCCAGGCCCAGCCCTGTGCCGTGCTGGGCGCAGAACAAGACAACCCAAAATTCTTGCCCCTCGTGGAGCTTAGGTGGGAGGTCTGTGGCAACACAAGACAAATAAGCAGTAAACATTTCAGAGAGTTACGAGTGCCTTGAGGGAGATAAACCAGGGACGTGGGGGCAGAACAGGAGCGCGCGAAGTGAGCCGATCAGCGCTGTAATTTTAAAACTGCGAATTCTTAGGGCCCTCCCCAGACTTACTGGCTCAGAAATCCCCTGGTAAGAAATCCTTCTGATGCCAGCTAGCTTGAAAGCCGCTGGAGGACAGAGCAGGTGACCAAGGAAGGCCTCCCCGAGGCAGTGACTTGGAAAAGGAGACCCTGTACGCGGGACCTTTGTCTGCTCGGCGCAAACCGGTCAGCACGTCGCTGGGACCCGGGCCTGGCGCTGGCAGACGTGGATGACGCAGGCCTTTACCCTTGAGCCCCTGTCGGACTGGCCACGCAAACATAGGCAATTCTGCTTCCCTGGACGAGCGCTGGTATGAGGACAGGTGTGCATGGGAACTTGGGGGAGCTTAGAGGAGAGCCCTGAATGAAGTGGGTACCAAAAAGAAGCCTTTCAGATGGAGGGAGTAGCTTGCGCACAGACTTAGAGGTGTGAAAAGGTACCACCTGATGGAGAGCCGGGAGGGGTTCAGCGAGGCAGGGTGAAAGGGACGCAGCATCTGTTAAGAGGCACAGACAGTGGGTGTTTTGAATGTCATACCAAGGCTTCCTTCTATCAGCTGTTCAAAGCTGTCTCGTATATAACTGGCAGTCAACCCTTACGGAGCACCTACTGTGTGCCCGGCCAAGTGTTAAGGTCTGTATCTGCATGCTGACTCATTTAAGTCGCCCCACAACCTTATGAAGCTGGTAGCAAAATTCTTCCCATGTTAACATTTGAGGAAAAGGAGTGAGCTAAGAGTTAAAATGAGCTTGTCTGACGGTTCTTGCCCTGGTTGCTCCATGTCTGCATCTCCGGGGCCCAGCTCAAGCTGTGGCTTGGTCATGGAGTAGTTTGGCTGTGAGCCTTCCGTGTGCCAGAGTGCAGGCCAGCGGCAACCCCAGTGCTCTGTGGAAGGAGCTCGGGGGTGGGGCAGCTTGGCAATTTAGCAGGCTTTCCTGGTGGCTCAGAAGGTAAAGAATCCACCTGCAATGCAGGAGACCTGAGTTCAATCCCTGGGTGGGGAAGATCCCCTGGAGAAGGGAACAGCTACCCACTCCAGTATTCTGTCCTGGAGAATCCCATGGGAGAGGAGCCTGGCGGGCTACAGTCCATAAGGTCACAGGAGTTGAACACAACTTAGCAACTAAACCACCAACCACCAGGCAGTTTAGCCAGTGTATCCACTATGTCCCTTCCTGTCCCTCGCGGGGCGTAAAGGCCCAGAAATGACCCCTTGCCAGGGTGACGACTCCAGAGCACAGGCTGTGTCTGCTCTGCTGACCCCTGTAGCCCTGGCGTCTAATACAGAACCCAGCACTTAGTAGGTCCTCACAAGATATGTGTTGTCCACAGAAATAAAGGCCTGGGACAGAGGTTCAGACAGTTGTTTGGGGTTTTCTGGGACTGAAAATGGCAGAGGCTAGAATTTTTGTGACTTTGACCAGATGTGCTGGGAGCTTGCTTGTGAGGAGGCAGAATTCCAAATGCACATGAAGCTTTTTGCAGCCGTGGCTGTCCCCCCTGAACCTAGATGCCTGTGGCCCAGCCTGTGGTCCCCAGAGAACCATAGATGAAACACCTCACTGCTCTGAGTGACGTCCATGGAGCCCTGCGGCAGCATTCAGGTGCTTCTCAAGAATGCAGAGTTTCAGACCTCAGCCCAGCCCCACTGAACCACAGCCTGCATTTTAACAAGCTCTCCAGGGCATCTGTTCATCCCTCTGGAGCAACCCTGCCCTGGATAACTCAACCCATTACCTTTTGACCAGATGTGCTGCCAAAGTCCAGAGAAGTAGAGAAGACTTCCCCAGGTTCTCATCGCAGAGACAACTTAATTCTCTGACCTCTGTCTCCTTATTAATACATTATCAGAAGGTGGGCAGGTTTCTAGAAATCTGGGGGCCAGCACCCAGCAGAACCCCAGGTGCATATTGTTGCTTAGTCGCTCGGTCCTGTCTGGCTCTTTGTGACCCCGTGGACTGTAGCTCGCCAGGCTCCCCTGCCCATGGGATGCTCCAGGCAAGAATACCGGAGCTGTATACCAACAATGGGTTGCCATTTCCTCCTCCAGGGGACCTTCCTGACCCAGGGGTCAAACCCAAGTCTTCCTGCGTTGCAGGCGGATTTATTACTGCTGACCCACCAGGGAAGACCCCTGGTGCCTATTAGGTGCTCACTCAAATATACATAACCTGTATGAAGGTGTGATTTGAATTGTTTCATGAGCCAGTTGATGCCTAACACACAGAAGGTGTTCAGTGCATACACAGTGAAGACAGGAATCAATACATGTTTCTCCCAGTCAGGATAAAAAATCTCATGTAGTGTTTTCACACTCACCAAGCACGTTCATACGCCTAGCCAGGTCTGTAGGGTTTGTTTTTCCCATCTTTTAACCCCACAGTACAGAATCAGATGATGCACACTTTCAGGCAAGGGTTCCAGGGTGTACCTCCCTGTTTCTCCAGATTCAGAAATGAATTTGACCTTTTTAAAGGACTTATTCGCCTCTGAACTGCCACAGAGTCCTTAAGCCTCTGGCCTTTTGTGGGGAAATTCTTTTGCCTCTGAAATGGGAAAGTGATGGCAGACTTTGTGTTACTTAAGACAGGCTGTTCGTAAACTTTATGGATCCCTGTGTGGAAGCAGTGGAGGTGATGGAGGTGGTGAGGTGTGATGGAGGTGAAGGAGGTGGCGGGGGGAGGTGGCTGGGAGTAGCTGTGAAAGTGATAGCGAGGGTGGAAGGCGTGATGTCGTGGTGTTGCGGGAGGAGGTGATGGACGTGGTGGTCCGGAGGGAGGGAGGTGTCCACTTGAATATGGGTGCAGAGGAGGGAGTGGACCAATCACTGTGATATTTGATGCAAGAGGAAAATATGTTTTAAAAGCTGAGATCATCTCTGAGAACTAGCAGTAAAACCCAAAGAACCAAGGACCCCCCCAGGCAGGAGCAGAAGGCTCAGCTAACTCAGTCAATGGCCCACTTACCCTTCGCTGTAGGGCCTGCGGAAGGGAGAAGGGAGGGCAGGAAGAGACCTTGGTGCTTGGCTAAGACCTTGTCACGACTGTTGAATTTGGGATTTGAGACTAAGCAAAGTCTACTTTAAAAAGATCATAGCACCGCGGGCAGTTGGGGGGGAAAAAAAAACCAACAACCCAGGTCTGAACTTGTTTAGCTGAGACCGCACGGTGGTGTGGAGTGATGGGCTGTGAAGCTGAAATGCTTATTGCTTTGTTTGCTTTTCCTAATACGAGAAAATGGATGGGAGAGACCAGAGGGCTCTACAAACATCCGGAGCTAAAACTGGTGACTGGACTTGCTTAGTCCGCGTGGAACCGAGCCATAACCGCTCTCGGAGCTCAGGAGTGGGGGTAAATGCCGTGTGGCGGTGACGACCACCCTCGCTCTGGTTTTGAGCCTTTCACGCACATATTCTTCCCAGGAACCCTGTAAAGCGTTTCTTATCTGTCCATTTCACGCATGGGAAAACCGAGGCCCAGGCTGGCTAACTGACCGGCCCTTCCGGTCCAGCCAGAACTCCCACCGGCTTCACCCTGAGAATGTGTTCTTAACTATCAGGCTGTACTGCTTTCTCTGTGACAGGCACAAAGGCTGCCTAGACTTCACGTTTTGGGAACCGTTCACCATTTTACTTCCTCCTCTCAGCAGATGTGAGCCACTCACGGTAGGTGTTATGCCCGCTTGACAGGCTGGGAAACTGAGGCCCAGCGGGAAAAATATGGTGAGCCAGGGGGTTCCAAAGCTGGGAGCCACACCCCCTGACCTCCAAGGCCCAAGTCGGGACACCGTGGTGCCCTGCACATGACTTAGGTGGCCGTAGATGGAGACCGCTGAAATCCAGCTCCTCGCTCCCGCCTGCCTGCAGCCTCGGCCAAGGGCAGAGCCAGCTCCGAAGCTGGGTGTGCAGAAACAGGGAGCACCCAGGCGGTGAGATCTCCAGGGCCCAGCGTCCCAGACCAGTGGTAGGGCGCGGTGGTCGGGAGCCACACCAGAGTGACCTGGGGGGAGGGCAGGTCCCAGCCTCAGCGTCCCCTCGGATAGCTGGTATTTGATGAGTGCTTACTTGGTGCACGCAGTAAGTGGCACTAGTGGTAAGGAACCTGCCTGCCACTGCAGGAGACACAGGAGATGCGGGTGCAATTCCTGGGTCCGGAAGATCCCTTGGAGGAGGGCATGGCAACCACTCCAGGATTCTGGCCTGGAGAATCCCGTGGACAGAGGAGCCCGGGGGCTACAGTCCATGGGGTCGCACAGACTCGGACACGACTGAAGCGACTTTGCACGCACGCACCTAAGTCTCTTTACTTATTTGGTGTCTCAGTAGCTCATTTACTTTTCTCAACAAGCCTATGAAGCAGGCAGTGTTATGACCCCCGGGTTACGCAGGAGGCCGCCAAGGTACAGAGAGGCTGAGGCGTTCGCCCGAGGATGCGCAGCTAGTGAGTCGTGGGGACTGCGCCCTGGCGCGCGGGCTGGCTTTCTTACCCACTTCTGCCACCCTGTCAAGGACATGATGATGGTGTCTGGTCGTAAAAGGAGATAAATTATCTAAAGCATTCAGGAGTGGGGAAGGGGAGACGGGAGGTGCTCCAGAAATGATCATTAATCATTTAGAACACATACGACATAGTTGGTGTCCAAATGCTTCCAAACAAAGTACTCGGGGAACGGGGGGCAGGCACACCCCACAACCAGCGCCAAAGAGGGATGGGAGAGAGCGTTTATTGAGCAGCCTCTGTATACCAGGACGGGTGAGAGGGAGCAACGCGAGGGCCCCCGGGAGCATGGCGGCGGGGGGGGGGGGGGCCAGGGCCCCGCTTCCTGCTCCAGCCCAGGGTTTTGTTTCTGGCCGAGATGGGAAGTCTGGCATAAAGTTGGGGCATGGGCCAGCCACCTTCACAGCCTTCTCTATAGCAGACACCCCTGGTTTCCCGGGTTCCACGTGGGCGGGCACGCCTTGTACATGGTATTCAAAAGGAAGTGACGCCCGGCCCTGCCGCCTCTTCGGCCTCTTGGGCTGCCCACCCCACAACCCGGCGGCCTCGACAGTAACAGAGTTGCCTTCTTGGCTCCAGGGGCGGCCAGGTCTGAGCCAGACACCTGCCAGGGGGGGACTCGGCTTGGCAAGGCTGTCCCTCCCTTCCTGTGCCCCAGAGATGAGCCCCCAACCCCACCCCACTACACCCACCAGGGCTAGGCGCGAACCAGGGAGGAGGAGGTGTCCTGAAGGCCCCTAGTTTCACCAGTCACTGACCCTGTGGCCTTGGGGTGGGTGGGGACACCTGGACTCCGTGCACCTCGATTTTGTCCTCTGTAAAATGGGAACGGTGAGACCTTTCTCTCGGGTCGTGGTGAGGGCTGAAGGATGTGAGTTCCTCTCTCTCTTCCCTTTCCTGTCCTTGAAGAGCTCGTGGTTTGCTCTGAGAAAAGGGCTTGGGTCAGCTCACCGTGACATGTGAAGGCAGAGGAGTGAGTTGGGCCGTGGGGCTAGGGAAGGGCTGGTGACAAGGGGCTGGGCTTTTAAGGTCAAGTGGCATTTATGGTGGAGAGGTAAGTTGCCATTCCAGGTGGGGATACAGCCTGTGGGGATGGAAGAGGGCGGGCCTGGGGCAAGATCTCCAATGGCCGGCCAGAGAGCCAGACTGTACCCTGCAGGTGATGGGAAGCCTTAGGTATTTACAGTGGAGGGAGGGGGTGACAGGGCCAGACCTCTGTGGTAGCTGGGGTGGGAGAGCAGCCAGAGGGACAAAGCGTGGAGGCAGGATGACCCACGGAGGCTGGGAGCAGGGCCCCCAAGAAAGATCAGGCCTAAGTTCATGCATGCCCCTGATTCAAGTTGCAGAGTTCACATGCATTCAAGGAAGGCTTCCAGGAGGAGGCAGGCTTTGCTCTGCACCCTGAAAAAAAAATCACACAAGCAGACAGGAGCAGGAGAGAGCGGCCGCGCGGGGTGGGAGTAGGAACTGGGGGCTCCCGGGAGCCCAGTGGGGCTGATGCGTCCGGGAGGCACATAGCTGAGAGGGACAAGCAGGGGCCTCGAAGGCCTTTGTCCAGCAGGCCTCTGACGCCCCGAGGAAGGGCTGAGCGTGGGGGGGAGCGGAGTCCGGGGCCGGGCAGGGCCACTGAGTTTTTATCACCACTGGGTGGGATCCAAGGTCTGTGGAGGAAGTGACCACCCTCTTCCGGCCAGCCTTTTTTTTTTTTCCTCTCTGCCGCCCCGTTGGCTTTTTCCCGAGGCCGCATTTCCACGACGCCCCTCCTGGCCGGCCGGGCGTGGGCATGGCTCCACCACACACCCAGCGGCCGGGGTGGCCCGGCCCTAGGCTTCCTGCTCTCTCTGGGCAGGCTCATTGGAGGAAAACAGCCCTCGGGCCTTCTTCAAAACAGGAAACTGCTCTCCCTGCTTCCTGAAGGACAGGAACTGTCCCCATGGCAACCGTGGGACAAAGAGGCCAGGTTAACCCTTCTGAGGTCCGGCCTGGCGGAGGACCCTTCTTCCCAGCCCCTTATGGGGGTGGCGCTGCGCAGGTCACACCCTCCAAGTCTCACCACCACTACGGGGCGGGGGTAGGGGGGGCAGGGCCCGGACTTCATACCCATTGGATGGATGGCAACGTGGAGGTTATTAACTCCGAGGGCGAGTCAAGTGTAGCGGGGCACAGGGCGGGGTCAGAGGTCAGCCGGCTCCGCTGAAGCCTGGCTCTGGGCCGGCTGGGCTCCTGGGGGTGCGGGGAGGGGGCTGGTGGCTGAGCCTTCCGGCCTCGGTTTCTCTACCTGTGAAATGGGCAACAGCGCCGGGCTGCAATGCCTGTTCCTCTGGCACCTATGCGCTCGTGCTGTTCAAGGCCTCGGAAGTGGCTGAGACAGCACTAACCTCCTGCCTCGCAGGCTGAGTGTGTAGATGGGGGGTGGGGGCGGTCAAGGCCCACACGTCCATGCAGACCTGAGACTCACGGGGAGTGACCTGTGCTGTGGGGGCGGCGGGGTGGCAGCTGTGCCGTCTGGGGACACTGAGGCCTGGGGGAGGGCGAGGGGGCAGCCGGGAGCCATATCTATCGTCAGAGCTGGGCGGTGAGGCAGGCAGGGCACGTTCGCGTGTTTGAAGGTCTGCCTCTGGCTGGAGGGGCCACCCCGAGTAACAGCATTTCCTGGGCGCCCTTGCCCTGGGACCCCGGAGAGCCCTGAGTCTTGGGGAGAGGCCGTCTGCACTGGCGCTGGGGGGCAGCCTTCCCGTGGCCCACCAGGACACACCCGCCCTCCCCGCCTTGCATGCCCGAGGCCCACTTTCAGGAGGACATGGTGAGGCGTTCGCTGTGACCTCTGGCCCCGGGCCCCTCCCCACCCCGGCCCCCAGCCCTGACTCCGGCCACACTGGCCACATGGCCTTCCTCTGCCTCCCAGACCCTACCTGGCCCCCTCCGGCCCCTGGGACTTCTCCTGCTCTCGAAAGTGTCTCCGCAGGAGGAGGGCACAGAAACCCGCTCCAGTATCCATGCCTGGAGAATCCCATGGACAGAGGAGCCCGGTGGGCTGCAGTCCCTGGGGTCGCAAAGAGTCAGACACGACTGAGCGACTCACACGACCACCACCACCACCAACGCGCCTTCCCACATGAAGTGTGCCTCCGTGCTCCTCTCCCCGCGGACCCCTCCCTGTTCTCCCCGCGGGGTCCACAGTCTGTTCTGGGGAACGTGCTGCGGGACGCAGGGAGCTCGACCCCCGTGACAGCCTCGAGGGGCGGGCTGGGGGGAGGCGGGCGCGCATGTGCGCCTGTGGCTGACCCACGCTGACCACGCGGAGACCCAGATGACACGGGAAAGCAGTCATCCTCCAGTTACAGATAAATAAATATACACATATATGTATGTATAGAAACATATTTTTAAAGAAACGTGAACGATTTCAGAGTAAGTTAGAATCAGTCCAAGAAAGAATGACTAGGCTAACGGTAAAAAGAAAATAAAATGCCTTCCTAAATCCTCAGCCCGGGGCTGGGCGGGCCCCCACCCCCCACCCCACCCCCGCCACCCGTCAGCTCTCCCGTGTCCCCTCTTCACAGGGGCGTCCCTCACGGACCAGGGTCCCGTCTCCGCCCGCACTCGCCACGCCTGAGACGGTCTCAGGACCTCACCTGTCTCCCTGCGTGGCGTCCACCGCCCACCTGGAGCGTCCTGGGACGTCCCTCCGGGAGGACAGGGCGCCTGGGGCGGAGCCTGGCAGGGCCCATGGCCTGCCGCTCCCAAGGGACGACAGCGACCGAGGCCCGCCTTCCTGGGCCGCTCAGCGCCACAGTCTGAAGACGCGTCTCTCACCCAGAAGGCAGCTCTCGAGCAGAGCTGGTGGGAGGCGAGGGGACCTGGGGTTAAATGTCTGCCCTGTAAAGAAGCTGACTTGGTTCAGCACCTGAGCCACCAGGAACTGTATGGGGGTGACCCTGCTGGCTCAGATGGTAAAGAATCCGCCCGCAACGCAGGAGACCTGGGTTCGGTCCCCGAGTCAGGAAGATCCCCTGGAGAAGGGCACGGCAGCCCACTCCAGTCTTCTCGCCTGGAGAATCCCACGGATGGAGGAGCCTGGCGGGCTATAGTCCACGGGGTCACAAAGAGTCGGACACGACTGAGCGACTAGCGCTTTCATTTTCACAAGGACTGTGTTGGGGGCTAGTGCGCTGGGAGGGAGCTAGCAGTCTCTCCGCTTTTCGGGTGAGGAAACCGAGGCTCAGAGAAGCAACGTCTTGAGCCTGAGACCACACAGCTGGGAGGCGTGGAGTGGAGGGAAACCGGGTGGGCCTCTGCCGTTTTCCTTTCCCTTCTGAACGCTGAAAGGGAAGGTGACTGACTTTCTGAAAAGCCTCTGAGGGTTGGTGCAGGCCACTGCCATCGGCCACGTCACCGGGTTAACACCGGGGGACACAAACCTCCTGGTCTGAAGTGGTTCTGGGCTGTTCAAGGATGACTTCCAAAACCCCATTCCAGGCCCAGTGAGCTAAGGGTCCCGGGGGTTGAGGCGGAGGGTCTTCCTTTCGGGAAACATGGGCTGCGGCTGTGGAGGCCCCACTGTGAGCTGGAGGCCAGGCTGGGAGAATCACAGGGACCCCTTCCAGCCGCAGAGCCTGCGGTCCCACCCGGGCCATCAGACGAGAGCCGGGCCATTAATAATCCAGCACCGCGCAGGAACGTCAAGGGGGGCAGGGGTGTGTCCAAACCCCGCCCCGCCGCGCTGGGCGAGCCCCCCGGAAGGCCTGCCGAGTGGCCGATTCCGACCTCCAGCCCCGACGGCCGCCTGCTCCTGACCTGCCCCCCGCGACGGGGAGCTTACGTCCTCACAGGGCCGTCATCCCCTCGCGGGACATCTCTGCAGGACCGAGGTGGCGGTGTCACCTTCCCTGACGGACCAGCGAGGCTGGTGATTGTAAAAGAGGCATTCTGATGAGCCGCAGGGCCTGACTCAGGGTTTATTTTTCCCCGTGGAGCTCCGCAGTGGAGCTGCGGAGTCTCTCTGCCGGCCAGTGGCAGAGGGCAGCGGAGACAGCGGCTCTGGAAAGGCCATATGAATTAGCTTAATGAGCACATGTGCACCTGTGCGGAGGGACCCGGAGGCAATGTGACCCCCTGCTGCCGACATCATCAGTTTCTGGGGGGTGAGCCTCTCCTACCGGAAATCCAGACACAGAGAAACAAAGCAGGTTCAGTCTGGGAACACCGCCTCCGGTGTCCAGTCTGTCCCGGCACTGGGGTCTCCATCCTTCCAGCAGGGGCTGCGGTCAACACACAGGGCACCCTGCAGGAGATGCCTCCTAGCTGCCCTCCAGCAGGGGGGCTGCCAGCTGGAGCCTGACCCCCTCCAGTTGAGGGGAGCCCCTGGGCAGGAGTGGGGACAGCATATGAGGGAGGGGACCTTCCGCACCTAGTCTGGTGGATTCCTGTGATCTCGACGTGTGAGCCGGGGACAGAGCTCAGACTTTGGGATGCGGGTGCGGACCACGCTCTGGGGTCTGAGCCCCAAGGCCCGGCCCACCTCCCAGCTCTGGGTCCCCAGGAAGTCCTTGTCCCACTGGGTGTTCCCCCTCATTTATAAGAGGGGGCACTTCTAGCACCTACCCCACATGCCCAGTAGGAGAGGTGAAGCAAGACAATGACCCTGCAGCACTTAGCCTGGTGCCTGTTAATACATAATAAGTGCTCAGTATGTTAGATACTGTCCAGGCCAGCAAGAAGATCCAACCTGTCCCTCCTACAGGAAATCAACCCTGAATATTCATTGGAAGGACTGATGCTGAAGCTCCAATACATTGGCCACCTGATGCGAAGCGCTGATTCACTGGAAAAGACCCCGATGCTGAGAAAGATTGAAGGCAGGAGGAGAAGGGGGTGACAGAGGATGAGATGGTTGGATGGCATCACCGACTCAAAGGACATGAGTCTGAGTGAAGTCCAGGAGATGGTAACGGAGATGGTGAAGGAACAGGGAAGCCTGGCGTGCTGGAGTCCACGGGGTTGCAGAGAGTCAGACACGACTGAGCAACTCAACAACAACGACGTTAGACATCATGACTAGGTATTATTAGTGAAGCAGTAGCCGGTGTGGACCAGGCCATCAATTACAATTTGAGGTCTTTTAGCAGGTAGACATGTGCTTGTGTTTGTGAAGGTCTAATCCATATGCCACTCCTCTCTGACTTGAGAGTTTGACTAATTTTTAGCTATTCATAAACACACTGTCTTCACATTTCACTAGTGAACAGGCAGCAGCGTCCAGACCTTGCTCCAGGGTCCGGTCAAACTTACTTTTAAAGCCCAAGGAGGACTTGTCTCTCTCGGATGCAGGACCCCCACCCCCCGACCTGCAGAGACTCGGTCCCTCCTCAAACTGGTGGAGCTGTGGTGCTTTGCACGTTACGTTTAATCATCACAGGCACTGTGTGTGACAGCTATGTACCCATCTTACAGATGAGGAAACTGAGGCCCGGGGAGTTGCTCAGGAATACAGAAGAGCAGCAGAAGGCTGTGACCCCAGCTGATGCTTTTCCCATGGTCCCTATCTCAGGACCTTCCCAAACAAGATGGAGGTAACTTCCCCCCAACAGTGGCAGGGACGTGGGTTGGAGGGATCCCTTGTGACCAGGGCACACACCTGGGGCAGCGACAGAGCAGTATTTGTAACCGTGGCCTCTCTTCTGACATTCATTTCAACCCCATGTATCAACACCCTGTCTGTGCCAAGCCGTGGAGGGGACCCTGGGGGTCAGACACACTCGGAGCACAAGCGAAAAGCCAGGCCCAGCCACGCAGCTGTGGGGCCCAGAGCAAAATGAGACTGCAGTGCCTCCTGTCCAAATCTCAAGAGCTTCACACGGTGACAGTAGAACACGGGGGTTTAAACCAAGCACGGGCCCTCCTGACCGTGGGTCGCTGCACACCTGCAAAGGCCACGCGCCCGTGAAGCTGGCCCTGTGCACGTCAGAGCTTCTGGAGCAGCGTCTCCGAGTGCCCGGCCCCGGGCCTGGCAAGGAACGGGAGCCAAGGACACACGGACTGGGCAGGAAGCTCCCGCAGCTCTGACGTGGGTGCAGGGTCGTGAGTTTGCAGCGGGTGAACCGAGGCTCGGGAAGGCGTCAGCCTCGCCGGGTCTCACCAAGGCCCAGATCTCGGCCTCTTGCCTGGACTGTTGGCCCACTGTTCCAGGCTGACCCCAATCCTGACCTTTGTTTTCCTGATCCCAGAAAGAAGGGGTAGTGTTTACCACGCGCTGAAGTCTGTTTTATTTTTGTGTTTCCCAATAATTGATTCCAACAGTTCCTACAGACGTCCTGCCGAAGGAAAACATGTTTTGCTCAGGCAACCTTCGACTTCCTCGCGGCGCCTCGGTGGTGGGGGCCCACGGCCACAAGGAAAGCGTGGGGTGAGTTTTCCCTTGTTTTTTTTTTTTCCATCTCACTGTCGGGGGACAACAAAACATGTTTTCCTTTTTCTCCAAAGGAAACTGGAACTTTCTTATTGACTATTTGTTGCCTAAAATTCATCTTCCCATTCTTGTAATTATCTTGGACTGGGGGGAGTTACAGGAGCAAACTTCGGAATAAAGGACTATCATTTTACTGAAAGGACAACCATTACAGCCGCAATTTTCCTTCATATGAAGCCATCGATGCCTCTGAAATTTGCCTTGGCTTCCTCATCAGAGTCTGTGCACGCTCTTGAAGTGACTTTATTATTCCAAGTTCTCACATTTTCTCATAAGATTACGTTCCTCAAAGTGCAAGACTGGGGAAATGTTGTTGTTCAGTCGCTAAGTCCGGTCCGACTCTGCAACACCATGGACTGCATGCAGCATGCCAGGCTTTCCAGTCCTTCGCTATCTCCTGGAGCTTGCTCATATTCATGTCCATTGAGTCAGTGACACCATCCAGCCATCTCATCCTCTGTCGTACCCTTCTCCTTCTGCCCTCAATCTTTCCCAGCATCAGGGTCTTTTCCAAAGAGTTGGCTCATCACATCAGATGGCCAAAGTTCTAGAGCTCCAGCATCAGGTTGATTTCCTTCAAAATTGACTGTTTGATCTCCTTGCAGTCCAAAGGAGTCTCAAGAGTCTTCTCCAGTGCCCAGTTCAAAAGCATTAATTCTTTGGCACTCAGCCATCTTTATGGTCCGACTCTCACATCCATACACGACTACTGGAAAAACCATAGCTTTGATTAGACCATTGTCAGCAAAGTGATTCACTGCTAACATGCTGTCCAGGTTTGTCATAGCTTTCCTTCCAAGGAGCAAACGTCTTTTAATTTCATGGCTGCAGTCAACTGTCTCCAGTGCCTTTGGAGCCCAAGAAAATAAAATCTGCCATTGTTTCCACTTCTTCCCCATCTATTTGTCATGAAGTGATGGGACCGGATGCCACGATCTTAGCTTTTTGAATGTTGAGTTTTAAGCCAGCTTTTTCACTCTCCTCTTTCACTGTCATCAAGAGGTTCTTTAGTTCCTCTTCACTTTCTGCCATTAGAGTGATATCATCTGCGTATCTGAGGTTGTTGATATTTCTCCCAGCAAACTTGATTCCAGCTTGTGATTCATCCAGCCCAGCATTTCATATACAGAGAGCCAGTGTTCTGGTCAGGACGGTAGGTGCTCGGAGTTCACTGGCGCAGATTCGCAGTGTGATCTGAGGCAGTGGTCAAGGGTCTTTTTTCCTCCATGTGCATATCCAGCCAATCCAGCAGCATTTATTTAAAATTCCTCATCATGTTGCACTCCGCGGCAGGGTCTGTGTGGTTATCAATCTGGCGATTGCAGCGGCGCTGGTCTAGTTCCGCGCTCGCCATCCTTTTCTCTCGGTCCAGCTGTCTGCAGTTGTGCCAAGACCCCCTGTCCTAGTCACTACCGTGTCCGCCGCAACTGATAAATCACGGTTGGCTTAATAACTCCGGTACTGCTGAACACTGGGGTTGTTTCCAATGTTTTATTTTTATGACTTGCTTGTTCTAAGTCATGGTCATAAAGAAAGCAATAATAGCCGAGACCGTGTGCCAGACTCTGCTCTAAGTGCTTTCCATATATTAACGCGCTTAATCTTTACAGCTAGCCTTGGAGGGAGGTGCTCTTGTGACCCCCTCTGAGAGACGAGGCCCTCGGGGCACAGAGGGGGAAGGCGGGTCTATGGTCTGGACCCGGGCAGGTTGGCTCTGGGACCTGCACTTTCATCCACTTCCCTCTAGAATCAGAGAGTGGAGGAGAGGGGAGGTGCAGACAGGGATGAACCAAATGCAGGCTGGAATGCCTTCCTTGGCCAGAGAATTAACCAGGCAGCCCTGTGGCTGTGGAGCCTGAGAGTCCTGGGACACGCCCCCCACAAGGCTGCACCACTCACGGCTGGGTGACTTGGGGCAAGTGACAATTCCTCTTTAAGCCTCAGTTTTCCTGTCTGTAAAATGGAGATACTAGGCCCATTTATCTGGGCTATTGTGGGGCTCACGGGAATTTCCCTGTCCTGTCTTAACCATCTTAACTGGTGACCCAGGGGCCTGAGTGGCCCCAGAGGGCTCTCCCCAAAGAGGTTTTGGCTTTGCAGGCATCCTGGCTTTCCTGTTGCCTGGAGCAGCTGAGGGCATGGCCAGTGGCACCCCAGAACCTGCTTCTTGCTGCCTCTCTCTGCATCCGGAGATCTGAAGCTCGGGGCTTTCCTAACCATCAGCTCCCCAGGGTGGGTGCTATCCTGAGACTGCCCCCCCCATTCACTGGGTGGCAACTCCTCCCCCTTCAAGGACGGCTCTCCTGACCTGCAGGCCTGACTGAGATCTGAGGACACTGCCGGCCTCCCGGAGCTGGGAGGAGCTCTGTGAGGGGGAAGCTGACCGTGACTCCACTCAGAGCAGGGCACAGGCTCCCGCCAGGTGGAATTTGTGGGATGGATGAATGATCGCATCAGGCAGTTACCAGCAACCAACCACCCCGGCTTGCCTAGGACCGAGGGGGCTGGCTGGGTGGCGGGGTTTCCGTACGAAAACCACGAATGCCTTGGTGAGACCAGACAAGTTCCTCGCCCCGAGTGACCACTGCGCGGCAGGCCTCGGGTTCAGCCTTCACCATCACTGTTGGACACAATCCTCGTGTCTTAGGTCGGGTCCCCTAGAAGCGAGAGCCCCACGCAGGGGTCCACGTGAATTATTGAAGAAGCGCTCTCGGCAGGAGCGAGGGAGGCCGGGGCAAGATGCCAAGCAAGGCTGCGGTCCCAGCTGGAGACCAGCCTCTGCCCGGCCCCTCCCCCTCCCCCCACCCCACCCCCATCCCAGCCCTGGAGCGTCGCGAGCACCACGGAGGTGGCCCCACCTTGAGGGAAGGGGTCCTGGAAGGGTGGCACCGAAGGCAATGCTTGGGCGAGGGGCAGCTGTCGGCCGTTAGCGGCCAGCATCACTGCGGCTGGGAGAGGACTAGGGCTCCGTCCTGCAACAGGGCTCAGACCGCGGGCCCGCTGCACTTCATCACAGCCGTGGAGAGAGGTGAAGGATGGGAACATCCCTGACAACGCTTTTAGCCCCAAACCACTCCATACAATGCCATCTGCGGTCCCACAGTGGCTGCGGGCCCGTCTCTCTCCGCCCTGCCTCATGGAACGCCCAGGTCCCCACCCCGTCTCCAGTCCCCGCGCTCCGCTGTGTGTCCTCCCGTTCTGCTCCCTCTGCCCGGCCTCCCCTTGGCCGAGCTCTCTCCCCGGCTGCCTCCTGCCCGTCATTCGGGTCTCAGCTCAAGCGCCACCTCCTTGGTGTCCCCCCGACGCCGCTAGTTACTCTCCCCCGTGCAAGTCAGGCTCTTTTCCTCCTGGCACTCACTGCTATCTGAAATGACTCTCTTCCATTTCTGTTCTTCAGCTGCTTCCTATCTGTCTCCATCTCCAAATACAAATTCCCTGAGGGCAGCGAGCCTTTCTGTCCATAGGGACTCAATAAATTATCCGTCCAGTGGACGAGCGTGTCCCCACTTTATAGATGACAAATGGCAGCGTCTGAAAAGTCACAGAACTTAAACGAAAGGTCAAGTGGCAGAGCAGGAGATTAAAGCGGGCAGACCACAAGGCTGAGCTACCCACCACCAGGCTGTCCCACCTCGCTCACCGAGTGGACAGTCTGTGATGGCAGAGACGGGTCATGCTGTGCAGGCCTGGCCCAGAACACAGCCCGGGAGATGTGTGGGGAGCGGACGAGTGACAGGTCAGTGATGAGAAGCCCTTCCTGCCTCTTGCAAGGGGCAGCGGAGGCTGCCTGCACTCTGCTTGCCTTTCCTGGGGACTCCGGACTCCCTTCAGCCACACCACCATCCTGCCATCAGAATGCACGGCCGGCTCCGGGCTGGGGTGGCGGCTGCTGTCTGCTGGGTGATCAATGTGAATAATAAACGTTTAGAGTTAATAAGCTCGAGTTAACTTCTCTCGCTTCAGTGACTAATGGGCTTCCCGGAGCCCATAACTCACACTGTCCACAGGCCTCCCTTCCCTCTGCAGCTGCCCAGCCCCGGCCTGCTGTGAAATGTTGCTGAGGGAGGAGGGACCTGGCCAGGCTGCGGCCTTATTTATGGCTGGGACGGAGGGTTTTCAGGGAGCAGCAGGGTCTCTCTGGCTGGTTTCTGGCTCTAGGAAGATGGTTGGGAGTGGGGGAGGTGGGCAATCAATCTGCCACCAGCGACTGGGGGATGGTGGGTGATGTCTTTCCCCACCCAGACCTCCTGCTTCTTGTCTGTCAAAGGAGATGGTAATAACCTGGGATGTTCCAAGGATCAGAGATGTGATGGATATAAAAAGTGCTGGACAGTGGGGAGGGCTTGGTCAGTTCTGTTCACAAATGTGTGAAAAAACTTGAGGGAGAAGAGAAGGCAGTTGTGAATAGACAGTGCAAAGATCTTCAGAGTGGGTCAGACCCACAGTCCCAGATCTCCCGGGGGCTTGCTAGAAATGCAGACTCTTGGGCCCTGCTCCAGACCTGTCAGACCCGAATCTACACGTTAAGGTCCCCTGTGACTTCTGTGCAAGTTTCAGGTTGGGAATTGCGGGCCTAGACCAGGCATGGTGCCTCAGTATCTGTGGCATCCGTCCACCAGTCCCCTGACAAGGGCAGACATTGCTAATCAATCACAGTGCTCTGGCCAGTGGAGCCTGGAAATGGCCTCAGAATCCCTTTCTGCACAGCAGCCTCTGCCACTGCTCAGAGCTGGCATGCCAGGGTACTGAGTACTGTCCTGGTCCCCCAAACATTTCACCCAGGTCAGGAAGCCCAGCCCAGTCCCTTCGGCACAGTTTCTGGAACCAGTACTGTTCACAGAACAGCAGGTAGCCTGACGCGTGGAAAAGGCAGATGAGGGAGACTGAGACGGCGAATCCGCGAGGCTCAGTGAGCCGCGGGACCCCTGCGCGTGTAGGTGAGGCGTGGACACCTGATTACTCCTCGGAGGGTCTGCGGTGAGCCTGGCTCCCAGCTGGGCAGACAGAGGACGACCTCCTGGCCTACCATCCTTTGTTCATTATGATGATATGGTAAGAACCACTCAAAATGGCTTTTTTTTTTTTTAAGAAAAAGCATTGATATTTACTGCTTTAACGATTGGAGCTATAAAAACTTACTGTGAAAGTCAAAACAATACAGAAGTGACATAAAAATACAGTAATCTTGCTCCTAGCAATCCTCTTGCCCGGGCGGGGGTAAACAATGTTAGCCGTTTGGTGACAAGTTCTTTCCATTTTACTCTTTGCTCTTTCAAAACATGTTTACAAAAATAAGATCACGCCATGTACCTGACTTTGCAACTTGTTTTTTTGTCCAGTAATATAAACAAGCAGGGTTCCAGGTCTGTACATACAGCTGCCAAATATTTTATAGAATGAATGTCCCAGGATTCATTTAAGCAGAGCCCGTAGATCAACATGTAGTACATGCCCCCTTTTTTGAAACAAATATTCTTGAACATAGCACCTTATGTGTCTGTATGGTTTTGCAGGATAAATTCTCCGAAGTGGAATTGCTGGATCAAAGGGCACACACATTTTAAACTTTAATAGAAACTGCAGATTACTGTCCCAAAAGATTGTGGCAACTCACAGTCCCACCGGCAGTGTCAAAACTGTTTGACTGCCCCCCACCTTGCTGGCACTGGAGGTCATCAATATTTAACATTGTTTTCCGATATGATGGGAGAGAGAAATGGCTTCTCGCTGTCCTTTTTGTTTGCGTCTCCACCACTGCCTGAGGAGCGGCTGTGCATTCATTTATTGGCCATTTGCATTTCTGTAGTGAACGGCCTGATCAGTGTTTGCCTGTTTTTCTTCTTTGATTTTTGTTGTGTGTTTTCAGGCACTCTTTGTATGTTACTATTAACTCTTTTTTTCTCATACGTGACCCACCCCTGTGCCAAAAAAGAATTCCAAAAGAGGAAGCAAGAAGAATAAATGCAAATTCTTACTCTTGGGTCTGCAAACCCCCAGCACCTTGGACAAAGGAGGTGGGGCTTCGTGGCTGCTCAGTGCCAGCAAGGAGGTGGGCAGTCAGTCTTGACACTGCTGCTGGGAGTGTGATTTGGCACAGCTCAAGAGGAGGTGACAGTGGGATACGGCTTCTAAAACAGCTAAATGGGGATAGAGGTGCGCCCAGAGAGAGAGAGAAGGTTTAAAACACTGTGCCCGCTTTTGGGGAAGGCACTCAGCTCGGAGCTGCTGGAGAGGGGTGAAGAGGGGGCCAGAGCCCCCATCGCAAGAGTAGCTGGCCCTGCTCAGCTTGACACCGAGCAGGGCTGTACCAGGACGGAAGGAGCAGACGGGCTTATCGGCCCACGGGCAGAGTGAGGCTGCTCCCAGCTGAGAGGAAGGAGGAGTTTTCTCTAACTTTCTTTTTCAAATTGTATCTCAAGCACCTCCTGCTTCTTTCCCTGTTTTACCTTCTTATGAAAGTGAAAAGGGAAAGCATTACTCGCTCAGTCGTGTCCGACTCTTTGCCACCCCATGGACTGTAGCCCGTCAGGCTCCTCCGTCCATGGAATCCCCCACGTAAGAATTCTGGAGTGGGTAGCTGTTTCCTTCTCCAGGGGATCTTCCTGTCCCAAGGATCTAAACTGGGTCTCCTGCATTACAGGCAGCTTCTTTCCCATCTGAGCCACCAGGGAAACCCCTTCTCATGGTGCTTATGATTTCTGCCAGGTTTCCCAGCTGGCGCTAGCAGGAAAGGATCCCCCTGCCAATGCGGGAGACGCAAGCAATGGGGGTTTGATCCCTGGATAACATGTCTAGTCAAGGCTATGGTTTTCCCAGTATTCATGTATGGATGTGAGAGTTGGACTATAAAGAAATCTGAGCACAGAAGTACTGATGCTTTTGAACTGTGGTGTTGGAGAAGACTCTTGAGAGTCCCTTGGACTGCAAGGAGATCCAACCAGTCCATCCTAAAGGAGATCAGTCCTGGGTGTTCATTGGAAGGACTGATGCTGAAGCTGAAACTCCAATACTTTGGCCACCTGATGCGAAGAACCAACTCATTTGAAAAGACCCTGATGCTGGGAAAGATTGAGAGCAGGAGGAGAAGGGGACGACAGAGGATGAGATGGCTGGATGGCATCACTGACTCAATGGACATGAGTTTGGGTAAACTCCAGGAGTTGGTGATGGACAGGGAGGCCTGGCATGCTGCAGTCTATGGGGTCACAAAGAGTCAGACAGGACTGAGAGACTGAACTGAACTGAACATGCTATAAACATATTCATTTTGTGTATTGTCTGTGTCTCCTCTGTGTCTATTGTCTCCTAGAATGTCAGCTCTCTGAGCACAGACATTTATGTCTATTTTGTTCACCACTGTGTCCCCTCCAGAAGTATTTTTATTGTTTCTCCAGCCTGAGTTGTGCAGAAATAGGTTAGGCTGACCATAGGTAGTGAGCTCCCCATCAGAAGAGGTGAGCAAGCAGAATCTGCCTGGCCACATAGCAAGCTTTCTGTGCAGGGGACCCCAGCATTCATGTGTGGTCCTCTCATGAAGGTGAGATCCAGAAGGGCCTCTGGATCAACGGGAGGCCTCCGAGGCCTCCCAGGGCCGAGAGGGTCCTGCACCTCAGCCAGCTGGGACAACAGAGCGCTCCAACTGGGTCAGCTTCTGTTTATGTCCTCATCCTGGCCCATCCTGAGCCTGGCCCCACCCCCGGTCAACCCCAGTCCAACCTCAACTCTACCCCCAGCGTGAGGTCCTCATGTTTTGGAAAATCCACGGGCATCACACCAGACTGAAAATATCTCAGAATATCGCTTTCGACTTCCTCCCGCCCCCGAGGCCCCCGGCCTGGGCGGGCAGCAACCTTTCCCTCGCTGTTGATTTTCAAGAAAGGCTCTTCCATAGCTGCAACACAGGGAATTTCCAGTATTTTTCTTCCTCTGCTCTATTTTTT